ACACAGCCATCGGTCCTTTTCAGGTCGGGAGAGAAATTGAGAAGACCAATGTTCCAGAAATTTTCATTGCTACTCTCCCTAAAAAGTGGTGCTTCTTGCAAGAAAAGGATAGAACAAAGATCTTAATGTTGCAGGTTTGAAAGACAACCACATCAAAACCAGGTATAGTGGTCCTAACCTAAGCAGCTGGCAAACTGCAGGATGGATGTGGGCACTCTTCTGCCTAATAAAATCTGAATCAAACACTTTGCATCTGATTCTCTATGTGAGCTTTTATGCAAACTTCTAAAGTGCAAGGAATCCTGGGGTGGAAGAGCTATTCTGAGAGATTTCACATAGTTCATGTAATTAGGGAAACCACTTCCTTTGATTGTAAGTGTTCAAAACAGCTGAATTTCTCCTATCAAAGGCACTCTGTGATTTGGGTCACCTCTTTTACTTTCTCTTTCATGTTCCTCAGGATAAGAGGTGAAGCCGGAGAGCACATTATTTAGGGAAAAAAAGATCTTGCTTTTTGTTTTAGGGATTGAACTTGCACTATTCAAAAGACTGTCATTTAGAATCTTCCTTTCGTTCTCACCCTCTGCTTCTTTCCTTCTCTATCGAGGCTCTTCAGGCACTACAGAGAACACAATCCAAAATGCCAGTTTAAAGCTGATGGAAAACTGTCAGATTGTATGTAAAAGAATTCTAATTCTCATGTTTGGGTTTAAAACATAATTAGAGCTGTAATCTGTAGGCTCTTGATCTCCATATTATGAATTTTCTGTTGTTATAACAGTGAATAAGTCAGAAAGAGAGAAAGAAACATGAACGAACAGGAAAAAGGAGCCCCATACCCCAAAAATCACTCTGTTCTTTCCCTATATTCCTGCGGTATCCTTTTTCCCTAAAAGTGGAACACAGGCTATTCAACAAGGTGGCCCATGCTGCTTTTGTTACAGCTAATTTTAGCACTGATGTTGTTAAGGTATTCAGTACAACTTATTCTACAACACCTTGGTCAAGGTAGCACACAGGTTTGTCAATGAATATCTAAACTAAAAAGGGGTGAAAAATAATTCACTATTGCCCAACCACTTTGATGTTCACATTTCTACTGAGTGTTTAAAGCAAGTCTAATAATAATCTATATGCTACAATCTCTAAGATTTTAGTTAGTTTAAATTCAGTTAATTAAAATTATAGATGGTTAATAAAAACTGGCGATACTAAGTTGTCACTCATATCAAGGAAAAGGGTTTTGAAGCATATGAAAAGATGTGATAAAATTGTCTAGAGTGATAATGACATCTCCTGCATTCATTATATTTGACATTTACAATTCAGAGAAATATAACTGGGCAGAAATTATCCCCATTTTGAGAAACCCAGTCCCAAAGAGGCTGGCTGATTTCCCAAACAGCAAAGGAGGAAAAGATCTAAAACTTTAAACAGAGACGAATAGGGTATGATCTCCTTCATTCAGGATCCTAAAATCTTCCCATCACAGTTTGAAAATCACATTAACTTTTCTGGCAAATATATCACACTTTAACTCATAATAAGCCCCAAATATAAAATGTCCTTCTGTTAAGCCACATCTTCCTCATCCTCTGTCAATCCTTAGCTTTCCAGAGTCTCCATGCGGCACTTTCATTTCCACCTGTTAACGCACTGCCCTAATCTGTTGAAATCTTTTCAGGTTCTTATTCTTATTGCACCTTTTAACATGTCAATTACTCTTCCAACTGTCATAGGAACTCAGAGTCAATCAGATGCTACCTAAATTATTAATGGAAGTGTTGAACAGGACATTGAATAAAATTATTTAATTTAATGCTACAAGAATTAAATGCTCTTCATGTACCTGTAAAAGTGTTTACAAATCACCTAATTTGTATATGGAAATTTTACTTAATATTTTTATTTCAGGACCAGATAAACTTTGCCATCCAAATAGTAATACATCCTCTTTGCTTCTATCAGAATTATAACCCCTAGTATATTTTTTAGCCAAAATGTATTCAACACTTACTATATGCCAAGCATTGTCCTGAGGCAGGTCCTGTTATCCTCACTTTAGAAATGAGGAGACCAAGGCACAAACATGTTAAAGAACTTGCCTGAGGACTAAGCTAGTCACGTGGCTGAGCTAGGGATTTCAACATGGGCCTGATGCCAGAACCCACACTTTAAACCACTGTCTCTGTTCTGAAGATATTTACAGGTTTCTTTCTCCCAGTTTGACTGTAAGATCCCTGTGGGTCTCCAACTTCCAGCACAGTTCTGGCATACATTAAGTACTTAATATATTAGCATTAAGTTGAAACTACAGCACAATAAGGATGGAAAGGGCTCTGTAGCCTAAATAAAAGTAAAAAGAGCATCATAGCTGCCTGCAAATATCTGAAGGCTGCCACATAGAGGAAGTATCAGTTCCAGTGTATGCAGCTGCAGAGGATAGTACTAACACCAACGCGCAGCATTAAAGTAAAGCAACTTCTAAGACCAACTAAGTCAGCAGTAATGGGCTGGGGGCAGTGGCTCACGCCTGTAATCCCAGCGCTTTGGGAGGAGGATGAGACGGGTGGATCACTTGAGGTCAGGAGTTCAAGACCAGCCTGGCCAACATGGCGAAACCCCGTCTCTGCAAAAAAAAAAAAAAAAAAAAAATATATATATATATACATACACACACACACACACACACACACACACATACATACATATCTATGCACACGCACACACACACACAGTTTAGCCAGGAGTGGTGGCATGCGCCTGTGGTTCTAGCTACTAGAGAGGCTAAGCTGGAGAACTGCTTGAACCTGGGAGGTGGAGGTTGTGGTGAGCCAAGATCACGCTACTGCATTCCAGTATGGAGGACACAGAGAGATTCTGTCTCAAAAAAAAAAAAAAAAAAAAAAAAACAAAAGACAGCTATTGAAAACAAGAAGGATGTCTTAATATAAGATTCCTACCACCAGAGGTATTTAAAATATGCAGATTACCAGATGATGTAGAAAATAATCCCATACTGAGAATCTCTGGTTAGGGTAAATCAGTGGTTCTCAAATCCCAGACCACTGATCTACATCAGGCATGAATGTTTTTTTTGTTTATTTGTTTTTTTGAGATGGAGTTTCACTCTGCCCAGGCTAGAGTGCTGTGGCGCGATCTCAGCTCACTGCAAGCTCCGCCTCCCGGGTTCACGCCATTCTCCTGCCTCAGCCTCCCGAGTAGCTGGGACTACAGGTGCCTGCCAGCTCGCCCCGCTAATTTTTTGTATTTTTTTTTAGTAGAGATGGGGTTTCACCGTGTTAGCCAGGATGGTCTCGATCTCCTGACCTCATGATCCGCCCGCATGAATGTTTAAAAGAAAAAAATGTTAAATGCACACACACACACAGGAGCCTAGGCTCTACCCTGGAACTACTGAATCAGAGTGCTTGTAGTGGGCTATGTGTGTTTTAACAAGCCCACCAGGTCATTCTGAAGCATAGCCAAAATTAGAAAGGTTGGTCTTGTGAGTTCCTGTTCAACTTAAACATACTATAGTGTTATACAGCATACCTTCATACCTCTCTGAAGGTATGCTCTGTAACTCTCTGAAGGTATGCTCTCAACTATCTCTTAATTTATCATTGTATTTAAAGTTCTAATGTATGACAGATGCCACAGTCCCTGAATGACTCTCACTCTCTAAATCAAACTGGCATCTACTCTCATTTCACTGTCTCCTTTCAGTTACAGTTATTGTGAGAAAGCTTCTTCCAAGAACTTAGTGTTAATTTGGAAACTGTAGTTTCCAAACTGTGCATCATCTCTACATGTCACCCAATCTGCTTTCAGATCTTATACACTTTTTATCACCATGGATAAAAACATTGATACAAGCTTCTTTAGGTAAAGGACTCAGATGTTTACATTGCTTTGCTACTAAACTATCTTCTAAAATTTTGGAATTAAATAAAAATACACATTCTTCACCATACTTCCCATTTTTAAGTATGTAAAATTTAGGAAACTACTTAGAAAGATTACTCCCTAAATTTTACATCTATCACCAACTTAAGTAGAGAATCATTGAAGGACTATGAAGGAGTGAGCCACATTTTTAAATCAATAAATATTTTTGAGTACCTACTGTATGTAAAGTACTGTTGAGGGCATGGAAGTGGAAGAGAGACAAGGAAACGCTCAGTATATATTTCTAACATTTAGTTAATACTATGTGCTAGGCACTGTGCTAAACACTTCTTGTGTGTTCTCTTTTAATTCCCTTAACAAGCTACCAAGGTTAACTTCATTTTGCAGATGAAGAAAGAAAGTGGTTATGTAACCGGCCCTGGGTCACAAAGCTAACAAGTGGTACAGCTGAGATGGATTCAAATTCAACAACCACTTCTGAGCATGCACTCCTAGTTACTACACTATACTGAACCTGTCCCTTTAACACCACACTACATATCTGACAGGGGAGGGGAAACGCTTACAAAAAGCAACCAAAGACAAACGCTTGGCAGAGGTGGAAAACAGAGAACTTGAACTCTCCTGGGTGGAGGCAAGGAGGGGCTATGGCTTTAGAGGAGGGGTGTTTTAATGACAGTAAGTGTCTGAGGGGCAGGGAAGGGGTAGAAACGCATTTCAGCTGGAGTCCGAAAAGCACACTGCTCATTCGGAGAGGATTCTGCTCTCTCTTGAAGCTGATATGCAGCCTGCATGGGGTGCAAGGGGTGGGGAGGCAGCCGGAGGAGAAGACGAAAGCTTTGTTGGGGGTGACTTTTGTAAAGGGCCTAAATGCCATATTAAGGATTAGAATTTTTCTATAGGTAATGGAGAACCAGCAAAAGTTTCCAGTGCAGAAATGACATGATCTGATCTGTTTTTTCTTCTTTTTTAATTTGAGGTCCATATGACAGATGAATCAGAAAGGGGGAATAACCAGAGCCTGAAAGGAGTGACAAGTACGACTTGAATTAAGGGAAGGAGAGATGGGGACAAGAAAGCATCAATTCAAAAACATCTATGATCAACAAAACCTTCAAGGCTGAGAATACAGCTAGATAAACACTCATTTCCTCAGGGAGTTCCCTGACCTTCCATTCCAGGGACCTTGTTTTTGGTAAGGGATGAGAATTTCTCTGGGGAGAGTTAGGGATGAAATCAGGAATGTCTCTAGAAAATCAAAGAATCAGACATTTAGTCCTGGTTGCAAACCACGAAATCACATCAAACCAGTTAGCTGCCAACCTTGCCTCTGCTTCTATTGCATCACATTTGTTCTTAAAACATGCTCCCTTCCGAAATCTCTGCTTTGTCATCAACCCCAAGGCAACCTAAAGTTCACAATACTAAGTGCACCTGAGTAGACCCTTAGAGAACTTGCCTCCTACCATTCCACTGCCATCTTTCTGTATTTCTACACATGATTTTCTGAATTTTATTCAGCTTTGATTAAAATACTTTCTTCTATAAATATCTAATTTACCACATAATTTCCTAGCTGAAATAAAGAACCCTGCCGAGCCCTTTGGCTTACGAAACAGACAATATAAAATAACTGTTATTAATTGGTACTCATTTTCAAACGTTTTCCTTTTATTTGACAATTTTGAAAACAACTACTTGTATATATGACTGGTTTCATGGTTCCTATCTCCGGGCAGTTGATTTTTCACTCCACCTCAAAAATGAAATCGTTGAATTCCTAAGCAACTCTTTCGCCATCTCCATCACACTGGGTATCCATGGCAACATGTCCCGAAGAACTGGTATACTGTGGCATTTCATTGTTTAATGGAGCACCTAATGTCAATTACTGTAAATAAAACTTTATATGTGTCTATATTACTTAATCTCCTTTGTATTCTATAAGGCATATATGACAGTCTCTAATTCCCTGGAGACAATGCATTATCCCCTCTAGTGGGTAAAAGCCACAGCAGAAAAACAAAATGAGAGTAGGCACAGGATGATTTGAGATCCTTGGACTGCCTCTGTTGCAGTGATTTTTCACCAAGTTAGAAGACACAGCCAAGGGATTTTATCCAGGCAGACAAAAACTGTGCAAATGCCATTACTCCATGAGGTACTTACAATCCCTAATAAATCGCATGCACATTGTTTTCATCGGGGCTGATAAACAAGTCACAGTCTGTTTTTAGAAGTATCTTATTTGTTTTAGTCATAGTCACATGTTTCAGTAGAATTTTGGTAGATCCTAAAACCTTGTTACATTCTGAATCCTGGTGCAGTTAAAGTTTTTGTTTTGCACTTACATGGTATAGAACAATCATCAGCAAGAATTTCCCACTGTCTCACTGCTGGTCTCATTTTATCTACCAGCCAATGTCCCGAGAACAGAATCGCAAAGTCTGTTCCATACAGAACACTTTCAGAGCTCGCTGCTCAGCACCGTCCCAGACTGATCACACCCTAACATGTTGGTTCTCTGTTAACCAGCACACTTCGGACGGGATCCAACACATTCTCGTATCATATTTAATTCTGCACGTTAGTGAACGTGCATTTAAAATCTAAAGCTGGAAAGATTTTAATCTTTCTATTTTTTAACTCTCTCATTTTACAGATGAAGACATCAGAGAGGGAAGCAACCAATTCCAGAGTCTAGGATAAAAACGTGAGTATCCCCGTCTCCTTGACAGCATAAAAATAGACATATTCTTATTACCCTTTTTGTTTCTGGTTTTTGAGAATAACAAACATTAATGGATATTATCTCAGGGCGGTTCTTCATTAAGCAAATCTATGTTGTCTCTAAAGCTGCTTTATTTAAAAAATGGACATTTTTCCATGTCCATAAATATGAGTCTAGACAATTGTTTTCCATACTAGCTTAATTTTCATTGAATGAGAATACTAACATTTATTTACCCACTTTTTAATTGTTGAAAATTTATTGTTTCAAATGTTTCATGACAATAAAAACATTTAAGTGAACATCTCTGCACATTCATCAGACGCACTTGTTTGATCATAACCTTAGGATATAGTCTGAGTTGTGAAATGCTGAGGTCAAAAGTAAGCACATTTTGACGCATAGTGCAATTCCGCACTTTGGAAGTATATCAACTTATGCTGCCTCGATTTTAGAGGTTCCTTAAACAAATCTAGAGAGTGTCAGTTTCCCAAGCTCTCACTAATAGTGAATATCTGCATTCATTTTTATCTTTATCAACAGTAAATAGTCTACCCTTTTGTGAAATATCTCTTCATGTCCTTTTTCTATTTTTATAATAGCATGTTTGGCCTTAAGTTCTTGACTCCACTTTAGTTAAGTGAGCTTCAATTATAATTTCTGATTATGTGTAATTTTAGAAAAGGCAATTCCAACTTGATTTTAATAGGTCAAGTATAGATAAAACATCCAGTAGAGTTTCATTTCTAAATACCACATCCCTTAATGAAAGCACTTATGAAAGCACAAATGCAACAGTTACAAACACAAGACTTATCTAGTCAGACCAGGACTCAGATCCCAGCTCTGCTCCTATTTGCTGCATGATCTTTGGCAAGTTATTGAATTCTCTCTGTCTCAGTTTCTTCAGATGTAAAATAGTGATAATGCTGTTGTATTATTTACTATGCTAAGCTCTTGCATGCATTATTTCATTTCATTCTTACCACAATCCTGTGAGGTAAGCACTATCGTATCTCATCATATCTAAGATGTCTTTGGTTTAAAATATTATGCACCACTAAGAAAAAATGCTGCATGTAAGATGCATGTTTCTTTTGGTATCATTGACACTGAGGTTGTATTACAATTGGTGGCATCTTACAGTTTCCATTGACAGCATTTTTTCTTAGTGGTGCATAATATTTTAAACCAAAGGCATCTTAGATTTGATGAGATATGACCGTGCTTACCTCACAGGATTGTGGTAAGAATGAAATGAAATAATGCATGCAAGAGCTTAGCATAGTAAATATTCCAAAAAAACTGTTAGTAAGCATTCATACAGTGTTACATATTTCTACAACTTTGATTTAAATGTTTAAGATTTCTAAAATTGGCTAGGCATGGTGGCTCATGCCTGTAATCCCAGCACTTTGGGAGGCCGAGGAGGGCGGATCATGAGGTCAGGAGATCAAGACCATCCTGGCCAACATGGTGAAACCCTGTCTCTACTAAAAATACAAAAATAAATTAGCTAGGCATGGTGGCAGGTGCCTGTAATCTCAGCTACTTGGGAGGCTGAGGCAGGAGAATTGCTTGAACCCAGGAGGCGGTGGCTGCAGTGAGCCGAGATTGCGCCATTGCACTCCAGCCTGGGCAACAAGAGTAAAACTCTGCCTCAAAAAAAAAAAAAGATTTCTAAAATTGATCTGAAAAATGTTTTTGGTTCCTTGAAGGAGCATATTTCATATAAAATAGTTGAAATATTTTAATTTTAAAATTACCACAGCAAAAATAGGTTCTTATTTAATGTAATTTAAAGGAAATCTAGTTTGAACAGGAAGTGATCTATTATTTTGTACTTTCAGGAAAGAATCAGCTCAACAATGTACTAAAACCATGAGATTAAGCAAAGTCTCCAAACAGCTAATGGAGAATTAATGCAAAGAACAGCATGGAAACTTTTCATTCAAGTCAATTTAGGCTGGACTCAGTGGCTCAAACCTGTAATCCCAGCACTTTGGGAGGCTGAGATAAGTGGATTACTTGAGGTCAGGAGTTTGAGACCACCTGGCCAACATGATGAACCCTCCTCTCTACTAAAAATACAAAAATTAGTGGGGGGTGGTGGTGCACACCTGTAGTCCCAGCTATTCAGGAGGCTGAGGCATGAGAATCACTTGAACCCAGCAGGCAGAGGTTGTAGTGAGCCGAGATCATGCCACTGAATTCCAGCCTGAGCAACAGAGTGGACTCTATCTCAAATAAATAAATAAATAAATAAATAAGTCAACTTAACCATAATGTTTTCCCATATGCTGCTGTGATTGGATCTTTTACAGATGCATAAACTCAAATCAATGTCATTTCTTGGAAACCGCAATTAGAAAACTATCAATGGAAATACTGGAGAAGGCATGAAGGAGGAGTGTGAGATGAACCTTGTGTCAGAGGTAAATAAATTATTGAAATCATTTCAAGAATTTTCATAATCTTTTGCATCAACATGAAATTGTACTCAGTGAGGGAAGGCTTCAACTGGTATGAGATATGAGAAAAAAATGGGTATGCTTCATTTGACAGAGGGAGAGTTCAAAGAATGTGTGTGTGCATGGGAGTTACGAAGGTCTAGATTCTACCACTTACTAACTATATGACTTTGGACATATATGTTCACTTTTCTCCATCTCTTCACTTGCGTCCTGGCAATAATTCCTAACCCACTGGGGTGTTACCTATGCACACAGGGCACTCAGCCCAATGCCTGACAAATGGGAAAAGTTCAATAAGGGATTGCAGGTATTCTTAATATTGGAATGCGTGAATTACAGGGCTTCAGCCTTTATGTCTTACTTTTTTTTTTTTTTTTTTTGTCCTAACGTAGGATAAATTTTACTGATGTATTCCCAACCAATATACGCATTTTTGGAGTACCTTCTTTCTAATTCCCACACCCATCTCACTTGAGAATTAGGCAATTTTTAAAAAGGCTTCTCCAAGAAAGAAGAAAGGTTGGGTTTGTTTACTGTAAATGTAATACATTTTAACTTTTTCTCATATCTTACACCAGTTGTTTTCCATATCTTTATTTTCTGCCAGAAACTCTTCAAAATGAAAACGTGCTTGTTGTAAGCTGGGATCCTATATTTGAAAGATGCTGCTGATTCTAAAGATCATCTTTTTAACAGAATCCTCAAAAAACAAAATTTCTGTTTCTGAATAAATTATTTATCAAGTTATTTTCAATCTTTCCCTCATTATGCATAGCAGAGCAAATCTTAAGAGAAGGAGAGAGTGGTAAATCCTTAATTACATTATTTGAATATTCACAGAATTCTTAAATAAAGAGGAAATGGAGCGGGCCAATGGGAACCCAACCTCCTCAGACTTTGCAGTCAGTATCTACACATCCATCTTTTTATTCTTTCTTAGATTCGCCGTAATTAGAAATGGCCACTGGGTGGTCTCCTTCAATGGAAATTTGCTTTCTTGTTCCTTGTTTTATTTATTTTGTGATCAGAATCCTAATGTTTATTGAGTGGTCATAATGCTAGTCCCTACTTCCTGTTATATGTTTGAAGAAAACCACAATGCCAACTGAGATAGGATTGTGGTTTGGTGGGGAACTTAAATGTCCATTCTAAAACCACTTGGCCAGCACAGAAGTTAACAACATTCACAGGCTCTATTTCAGTTTCTAAAATCCAGGGAACACACACCTTCTTGATGTTGCAGAAACCAATGTCAGAGTTAAACGTGTGGATGCTGCCTACAGAATGTTTGGCTTGCTTTTCGAAGCAAGCTTTATTGCCTAGAATAGTCTGTAAGAGCATGCTGCAATCCAAGCGGTTCTCACTCCCCTTCCCTCTAGACTGATAATAAAAATAAGAAATGCATATTCTCTTTGTAAAGAAACATTCATTGGTCAGGCATGGTGGCTCACGCCTGTAATCCCAGCACTTTGGGAGGCCGAGGTGGGTGGATCACCTGAGGTCAGGAGTTTGAGACCAGCCTGGCCAACATGGTGAAACCCCATCTCTACTAAAAATACAAAAATTAGCCAGGTGTGATGGTGCACCCCTGTAGTCCCAGCTACTTGGAAGGCTGAGGCACGAGAATCGCTTGAACCTGGGAGGCGGAGGTCGCAGTGAGCCGCATTCCAGCCTGGGTGACAGAGTGAGACTCTGCCTCAAACAAACAAACAAACAAAAAAGAAACATTCATCATCACTTTGTTACCTTGACACCACCCTTACCCCAATATCACCACTAGAATACCACAGAATCATCTCTTTCTTGCCCAATGTCATTCTTTTTTCCGCCGCAACTATATAATATGAAACTCTAAAATTCTCTACTCTCTCTACTTTACATAAATCCTATGTAAGTGCCACAGGCAAAAACATTACACAAAGTATTTTTAAAATATATACATTTAGAGACAATGACTCATCCTTTGGATTAAACATGTTATAGTCCCATAAAGAAATTTAATTATATTGCTCGAAAGCATTTGTTTTTAATCATTCTAGTGGTATAATTTTTCTCCTCACTTATAATGTACAGATTACTACAAAACAGAATTCAAGAGTATATATCCTTCAATTAAAAAATTAAAAGGACGCCGGGCGCGGTGGCTCACGCCATAATCCCAGCACTTTGGGAGGCCAAGGCAGGCGAATCATGAGGTCAGGAGATTGAGACCATCCTGGCTAACATAGTGAAATCCCATCTTTACTAAAAATATAAAAAATTAGCCGGGCGTGGTGGTGGGCGCCTGCAGGCCCAGCTACTTGGGAGGCTGAGACAGGAGAATGGTGTGAACCCGGGAGGCAGAGCTTGCAGTGAGCCGAGATTGTGCCACTGCACTCCAGCCTGGGCGACAGAGCAAGACTCTGTCTCAAAAAAAAAAAAAAAAGAAAGCCTACTGAGAAAACTCCTCTCAGGAATAACATTTATCTTCTCTTTCAATCCCCAGGGTACTGACATTTTTAGTGTTTGACAAGAAATGCTAGTATATTCAATAAAGATTTATTTTAAAAAAAAACACATCTAAAATTTAACTTCACTTCCAATTTTCAAACTGTGAGGTGGAGACTGCTAAGCAGAAAAACACAAGTAAGTGAGGTTGCTCTAAGGATAATCTGAGATCCTTATTTTGCTGTGATGAGAGTGCTCACCAAGCTAAAAAGCTGTAAAACAATAGACATTCTTTAGGTGTAGTCCAGGATTCACTGATACACAGTAATGCTCTGAAGACTGAAACATGTACACAAGAACATATTACATGGATAAAGTGGTTTCTTTTAGAAGGTAAGAGATTCTATAAGGGATATATTTAATGGTGGATTCAACATACCTGTCTTCCTTAAAATATGGGAGACAAAATGGTACACCCATTTCTTCTCAGAATGATTAGTACTTTATAAAATGTGCAAGTTGTGGATTAATTGCCTCTCAGTTCCACATCCACACCTTACCCTCCTATGTGGTACTTCAGCTGGACCCTATAAAAATATCTCTCTTTTGTCAGTTGGTAAAATTTTTCTTTTCCTTTTCTTTATTTTCTTTAGAGACAGGGTCTCACTGTCCCCCAGGCTGGAGTGCAATGGTGCAATCATAGCTCACTATAGCTTGGAACTGCTGGGCTCAAGGGATCCTCCTGCCTCAGACTCCCAAAGTGCTGGAATTACAAGTTTGAGCCACCATGCCCAACCAGTTGTTGCAACTTTAAGCTTTTTTAATAGAGGCACGGGAGGGTTGCAGCAGAGGAAGGAGCATCTTTCTTGTTTGTTGCTGCTTTTTCTTCCCCTTGACAGTCTGGCTGCCAGCAGTGTGCAGGAGATTCAGTTGAGCTCACCCTTCAGCAAGTTTCCTGGACGCTCCAGCAGCTGGATTCCCAAGTTCTGGCATGTCACACCCTAATGGGCAGTTTCCTGCTCACCAGCTCTGGCCACAGGCAACCCAGAACTTCTCATGGAACAATTCCAACCTGCGGCACTACGTCAAGCCTCACCAGCATCCTAGCAGGTGGCTTCTTGTGAACCAGCTCCCACCCATGGAACCCCAACCAACCCCCACTGCCCCATCATCCATTCGCAGCTGCAGCCTTTTCAATGAGGTCTCAGTCACAGCCTGGGGAGCGGGCCCTCTTCCAACCTGCTCCTTCCTTGGATGCATTTCATCAGGCCTGGAGCTTGTAGCTGTTCTCTGCCTTTGCTATCCCCATATTCTTTAGAGTCTCTTTTACCCCGTTCAGCAGTCAACCACCTTTTACTAGGCAACAGTTCTCTATACTAATTTTCCTAACTGAACTCTAATACAGAGTTGGCACCAAGTGTGGTTCCTGGTTACAGACCCTCAAAAATATTAATAGAACTTTGGGATTAGTATGGTCATGGCCTCTGACTGGAAGACAATACCAATCCTTGTCAATGGGATATGGGATGCTGGTAATCCATGGGATAAAGTCACATCAAAATTAAGCTAACACCTGTGATCAACTGCAATGAAGTGCCAACGGAAACAAGGTCTGGGAGTCAAAGAGGCTGCTGTCCTTGACTGCTATGGCAGTAATGATGAATATAAAGATTGCAGGGTACAATGAATTCTTTTGAGTGCAATGAAGCATCTACCAAAAGAAAATAAGTTTAGGTGTTTTTAACCCCCAGCCCAAGTTTAAGAACCAGAGAGCTTCCACACTAGCTCTAAAAAAATCCTTTATTTCCTGTAGCCACAGAGCTACTATTTCCAGAAATTAAAAAAAAAAAAAAAATGCATTGGGTGTGTTGCTGAATTACAACATCAGTTGAATTTACAACCACAGTTTCTCACATGAAAGTTAGTGTACTGATTAAGAAAGAATGGGACCTGAAACCTGGAAAGGGGAACATCTGGTTGAATTCAAGATGAAACAAACAATTTCAAACCCCAAAGAAACTCTGAGGTTCCCTTGACCATGGAAGTTGCTTGCCCTCTTATGTCTCAAGAGTCTAGCTTTCGGCCAGGCGCGGTGGCTCAAGCCTGTAATCCCAGCACTTTGGGAGGCCGAGACGGGCGGATCACCAGGTCAGGAGATCGAGACCATCCTGGCTAACACGGTGAAACCCCGTCTCTACTAAAAAATACAAAAAAACTAGCCGGGCGAGGTGGCGGGCGCCTGTAGTCCCAGCTACTCAGGAGGCTGAGGCAGGAGAATGGTGTAAACCCGGGAGGCGGAGCTTGCAGTGAGCTGAGATCCGGCCCCGGCCCCCCCGCCCGGGCGAAAGAGCCCCAGACCCTCTCCAAAAAAAAAAAAAAAAAAAAAAAAGAGTCTAGCTTTCTTTTCCTGGAAAACTTTTGCTGAGTAGCCTCACCTGGAGTAGACGTCTTTATAAGGGGATGCTCATTCTCCTCAAGATCTCTCATAACCACTCAGTTCCTAAATCTCAATATGCTTCACGGTACACAGCATCCCCCAGAAGGAAAGGGCTTATAGATTCGGAAACCTGCAAGACCCTTGTTAATATCTAGTGGCAGAACCCTGGGAATATGTGTGCAGGTAGGTACCCATGGTGTGAGCTAAAGAACGCTGGGAAATATACAGCACATCTGGCTGCTTTCATGGATACAGATGCACCTACTAGAGTTTCTGGACAGAATGTCAATTTGTTAGCTCATGAAGCTAGAAGTCTCTGACAGCTTACTTGGTTGGTTGACTGAAACCTGTAATGAGGTTGAAATGCCAGAACTTCCCTGGCATGATATGGAGGATGGAATCCAAAGGCTTAAGGGGATAGGAATGTAGTGGATTTATCATGTGTGAACTACATACCCAACCCCCTCAACTACATCTCCTGAAAAGAACCAGAGACACTCCTTGCACTAAGACATTGAAAACTACATAAGTGAGGGGAGTGCTGCATCTCTGATAAAACTCTGTGATTATTTTCCTTTGCAGACCAGTGAGACCACAGGAGATGTCATGACTGAGATGAGCTTCCTGGTTTCTTTGGAGATGGTGGGATACAGGAGGAGCAGAAAAAGTAGCAGCATTGAGTGCCAAAGACAAGATCGGTGCATTTACTATTAAAGGGATCAGGGACATATTAATTAAAGTGCTTTGGCCCACAGGAATCTCTGGTGGTAGCTAATTTATCCTGCAGTCCCTAGGAATGAAATCAGTGTGCAGCTTACTACAATACTGTATAATCTATATAACAACAACAACAACAAAACTGTAGGTCCGGTGGCCGTTACATCACCACAATGCAGAGTCACAGAATCACACCCAGTTCTAGGCCTAAAACAGTTTATTGACCCATAACTCTTTGATTGAAGGGAAGGCCCGGTTTCCTTCAAAAATAACCCTGCAGTGCTGCCACAGGCATATGCCATAAATCCTCCTCCAAAGAGGCCTGCTACCATTACTAGATGGGCAGTGCACAGGGGGAAAGGACATACTCAGATATTTCAGGGATTACTAAACACTAGCTCTGAACCAACACCAAGTTTCCCCACAAGTTGACTAAGAAAGAAAAAACACGAGCTCAATTTATAAATGGTTCTGCATGATACATTGGTACCAGCTGAACGAAAGTCTATGTCCACAGCTTACATTCCCAGTTAGGGGTGACCCCCAAAGAACAGCTTTTAAGGAAAATCCTCTCAGAGGGAAGAACTTTGACAGTACATTTGGTGATTCACTTTGTCTGTAATAAGAAATGGCCAGAAATAAGAGTCTACACTATTACACGAGTCTACATGGGTGATTGCTTATACTTCATCTGAATGATCAGGGACTTGAATAGAAGATTATAAGATTGGTGACAAAGAATTTGAAGGAAGAGGATGTGATGGACCTCTCACATTGGGCACAGACCTCAATAATCAAATGAATACAATTATATGCTCTGTGGATGTCATTCAGCCTCCTTCCCAACCACCCCAAGGCTTGCCCAATGGGGCCATGAACAAAGTGGCCATGAGGGCAAGGATGGAGACTAAATGTAGGCTTAGTAACAAGGACTTCCCCTTATCAAGGCTGAACTGTCTGTTGCCACTGCTGAGTATCGAATCTGCCAACATGAAGATAGACACTGAGCCCCTGACAGTCCCCCATTCCCAAGAGATGATGGGTGGGGAGCATCCATCCTCACTGGAATAGACATGTATCCTAGATAAGAATTTGCTCTCTGACTGGGCATGCTGGCTCACACATGTAATCCCAGCACTTTGGGAGGCCAGGGCGGGTGGATCATGAGGTCAGGAGATCGAGACCATCCTGGCTAACACGGTGAAACCCCGTCTCTACTGAAAAATACAAAAAAATTAGCCAGGCGTGGTGGCGGGCGCCTGTAGTTGTAGCTACTTGGGAGGCTGAGGCAGAAGAATGGTGTGAACCCGGGAGGTGGAGCTTACAGTGAGCCGAGATTGCCTGCTGCACTCCAGCCAGGGTGACAGAGCAAGACTTCGTCTCAAAAAAGAAAAAAGAATTTGCTTTCCCTGCCTGTAATGTTACTGACAATATCTTCATTAATTGCCTCACGGAATGCCTTATTCACCATTATAGTTTTCCATACTGCATTGCTTCTGACAAAGGAAACCACTTCACAGCAAGGGAATAAAGCAATGGACTCATACTCATGGAATTAAGTAGTCTCACCCCATATTCCTCCAATCAGAAGCAGCTCACCTAGAAGAAATGTGTAATGACTCACTGGAAGATTCAGTTATGGCATCAAATGAGAGATAACACCCTGAAAGGATTTCTGATTTACAGGATGAAGTAAGTATATGCTTTGAATCAGGGACCACTGGCAATCCTGTAACAGAATACACGGATTTGGTAATCAAGGAATAGAAGTGAGAGTGACTCCTGGCTGGGTGCAGTGGCTCATGCCTGTAATCCCAGCACTTTGGGAGGCCGAGGCGGGCAGATCATGAGGTCAGGAGATCGAGACCATCCTGGCCAACACGGTGAAACCTGTCTCTACTAAAATATAAAAATAATTAGTCGGCCACAGTGGCACGCACCTGTAATCCCAGCTACTCAGGAGGCTGAGGCAGGGGAATTGCTTGAACCCGGGAGGCAGAGGTTGTAGTGAGCTGAGATCATGCCACTGCACTCCAGCCTAGGCAACAGAGCAAGACTCCATCTCCAAACAAACAAACAAACAAACAAAAGAGTGAGAGTGACTCCTATCATTGTTATACCTAATAACTCACAGATTTAATGATCCCCATCCCAGTACCCCCGAGCTCTGCTAGTTTGGAGATCTTAGTCCCCAAGGATGGAATGCTTTCACCTTATTGCATGTGGGGACATAATAATTATTCCATTTAATTGGGATACGAGACTGCCACTGGCTATTTTAGGTTCTGAACCAACCAGCAGAAAAAGAGGATACTCTACTGACTGGAGTGATTAATCCCAATTACCAAGGGAATACTGGGTTGTTGTTAAATAATGGGGGCAAGGAAGTCTATGTCTGAAACCCAGGGGGTTCATGGGGTGACTCCTAGTACTTCTATGCCCAAGAATAGAGGTTCATGAAACAATATGACAATCAATAAAAGGCAGGACTGCTGAGGACTCAGAACCTTCAGGAATGAAAGTTCAGGTCACCCCATCAGGTAAAGCTGCCCAGCCAGCTAAGGTTTTGGCTAAGTGAAAAAAATACAGAATGACACGTGGAGAAGGAAGTCAGAGATCATGACTAGTTACAGAAATGCGGACTACAGCAGCTTTGGGGATTTTCCCTTTGTTCTTTTTTTAAAAGATAATTATATTACATTGAAACCATTTTCTTTCAAAAAAGAAAGGAAGAGGAGAGAAGGCAGGAAGACAGGGAGTGAGGGGGCTTTGCTTGTTCTTTGTGTATATGTGTAGACACTGTGTGTGTATATATATATTTTTGATATTTAAAATATATTTTCCTTTTTTGTACTTTTAAGTTTTATTTTAAAAAATTGACAAATAATAATTGTACTTATTTATGGGGTAACTATTTACATTTCAATACACGTAGTGTATAGTAATCAGACCAGGTATTAGCATATCCATCATCTCAAACACTTATTGTTTTCTTGTGTTGGGAACATTCAGTATCCCTTTCTAGCTATTTGAAACTATATAATGTATTTTAAAATATATTTTCTTCATACCATCAAATATTCAGAGTTAAGTTTTCCTCCCTCTTGATTGTCTTTTTTATTTATTTATTTTTATTATACTTTATGTTCTAGGGTACATGTGCACAACGTGTAGGTTACATATGTATACATGTGCCATGTTGGTGTGCTGCACCCATTAACTCGTCATTTACATTAGGTATATCTCCTAATGCTATCCCTCCCCAGTCCCCCACCCCACAACAGGCCCTGGTGTGTGATGTTCCCTTTCCTGTGTCCAGGTGATCTCACTGTTCAATTCCCACCTATGAGTGAGAACATGCGGTGTTTGGTTTTCTGTTCTTGCGATAGTTTGCTGAGAATGATGGTTTCCAGCTGCATCCATGTCCCTACAAAGGATATGAACTCATCCTTTTTTATGACTGCATAGTATTCCATGGTGTATATGTGCCACATTTTCTTAATCCAGTCTGTCACTGATGGACATTTGGGTTGGTTCCAAGTCTTTGCTATTGTGAATAGTGCCGTAATAAACATACGTGTGCATGTGTCTTTATAGCAGCATGATTTATAATCCTTTAGGTATATACCCAGTAATGGGATGGCTGGGTCAAATGGTATTTCTAGTTCTAGATCCTTGAGGAATCGCCACACTGTCTTCCACAATGGTTGAACTAGTTTACAGTCCCACCAACAGTGTGAAAGTGTTCCTATTTCTCCACATCCTCTCCAGCACCTGTTGTTTCCTGACTTCTTAATGATTGCCATTCTAACTGGTGTGAGATGGTATCTCATCGTGGTTTTGATTTGCATTTCTCTGATGGCTAGTGATGATGAGCATTTTTTCGTGTGTCTGTTGGCTGTATAAATGTCTTCTTTTGAGAAGTGTCTGTTCATTTTCTTTGCCCACTTTTTGATGGGGTTGTTTTTTTCTTGTAAGTCAAAAGAACAAAGCTGGAGGTATCACACTACCTTACTTCAAACTATACTACAAGGCTACAGTAACCAAAACAGCATGGTACTGGTACCAAAACAGAGATATAGACCAATGGAACAGAACAGAGCCCTCAGAAATAATACCACACATCTACAACCATCTGATCTTTGACAAACCTGACAAAAACAAGAAATGGGGAAAGGATTCCCTATTTAACAAATGGTGCTGGGAAAACTGGCTAGCCATAAGTAGAAAGCTGAAACTGGATCCCTTCCTTACTCCTTATACAAAAATTAATTCAAGACGGATTAGAGACTTAAATGTTAGACCTAAAACCATAAAAACCCTAGAAGAAAACCTAGGCAATACCATTCACGACATAGGCATGGGCAAGGACTTCATGTCTAAAACACCAAAAGCAATGGCAACAAAAGCCAAAATTGACAAATGGGATCTAATTAAACTAAAGAGCTTCTGCACAGCAAAAGAAACTACTGTCAGAGTGAACAGGCAACCTATAGAATGTGAGAAAATTTTTGCAATCTACTCATCTGACAAAGGGCTAATATCCAGAAGCGACACTTGTGTATATTAATCATTTCTCTCTGATCCCTCCTTATTCCCCTTGTTATTTTATATACAAATTGTTAGAGGCTAACTTTATGATTTAGTCTTTAGGTAACAGAATATTCAGTGTACTGTAATGAAATCTGAGGAGAAATTAATAAAGCAGGCAATGGACACAGTGACTGTTGGGACTGCATCTCATTTTGGGGAAAGGGTGAGAACTTCTTCACTTGTACAAAGGGCAGCTGACCTTCATCATAGGTGAAAAAAGAGAACTGTTTCATTATTACATGGAAGTTCAAGTGTGTGTAGATGGTGTATATAGAAGCTGAGTAGCCAAACAGATGAACTGTGCCAGTTAACAATTTATTGCCTCTCAGCACCAAATCCATCGTGTTTTGTGCTGCCTCGTGATTCTGGA